TCAGCAGCATGGGGTGACAGAAGCCCCTCTCTGCAGGGGATTCAAGCTCCCTGTGGACAGCCTTTTTTGCTGCAGCCTCCCCTAAGTCCCTCTTCCCTCTGCATTACTGCCTCTGATAGAGGCAGCAGCAGCACCAAGCCAGTGCTGGGGGAAAACCAGCTTTTAAGCCATCTCCTACTCCCCTCCCCACCCAGAGGCAGCAAGGGGGGAGGGGGGGGAGGCAATTCATCATCTAGATTAACCAATAAGCCTAGGCTTATCCATTAAATCAACTAGTCATTTGCATCCCTAATTCAAATGTTATATACAAGTGGGACTTTCTCTCAGAGCTCTTGTGCTCTAGTCATAGCAGTCCTGCCAGCAATGGATTCTGTACTAGTATTTGGCTTAACCAGATTCTGGCGAAAAAAGTGGCAAATCCACATTCTACTCTGAGTTTCATGTGATGTTTTTTGAACCTTAGGGAATGAAGACAGGAGAACCGTAATCTACTGTATTTAAATGGCTTTCCAGTCACACTAAATGCTATAGCAAAACACAAAAGTTCTAACTATAAGAGGGCATTAGGTGTATACTACATACTATGCGAGGGGGGAGAAGCAGTGCTGCTCAGAGAAACCTCCCTAAGAAAGTATGGATAAAACCACAATTCTTAATTTACATTTTTAATTTGTAAACTTATCAGTTTTGAAATCAAATTTAAAAAAGCAAATGAAACGATGAAAAAAAATGTCATTACCTGATCACTCACAAGGATGTGGATACCAGTAGGACCCTGCTTGTAAACCTGATTAATCTGATGCAAAGGAATATTAAACACCAAAGCAAGCTTGCGAGTGACTTCTGAGGCTGCCATTTCTTCTAAGTAGATTGCATGATAAACTGTAAGATAAAAACTTTACTTAAGAATTATACTGTCATTGATAACCATTTATGTGAAAAAACCTTTCCTGTAAGGTTGTAAAGTTTACATCTCTCACTTTAAAGTGTTTGCTTTTTTGTTTTAAACTGCCTGATCTGCAATATCTTTGAAACTTGAATACCTTATTTTACAGTGTTCTTTCAATTAGTTAGTTGTACATTCACTTACAGTGAATTTCTTGGCTGACCACCATAGATCATTTGAGTGCTCAATAACTACATCATCAACATTAGGGTTTTGGTTTTTTTTCCTTCAAGCCCCTTTAAAAGCCTACATTTTATTAAATGTTCTGTTGTTGAAGATGTGATGTGTTCCACCATACAAGCACATATACCACTTCTGACTTAGTTTTAGGAGTGCAGTCATCTCTGCAATGCTAAAACTGTGGTGTCACCATTAATCCACCGCATATTCACTTTCTGGATACATTTGTATTGATGTTACGTATTACAAAAAGACAATTCTAGCAGTTTGCACATTAGCCTGAACTATTATATTTCATTGAAAATCTATTCTCAGATGCTCCTTTTCCCTCTTCTCAAGTGTTTATTTCAAATCTTTTATTGGCTACCAAGTCATGAAAAAGCACCATGTGATCATACCATATATTGCACCATTGCTGTTATCACCATTGGTTTCATCTTGCTGCCTTTCCAGTTGTATGCTCCTCAGTGGTTCCTGGCACACATAGATTGTTAAACGGGGCCTAACAGACCTGCAATTTTAAAAGAATACATATAATTTTAAAAATAGACACTCGTCCAAAAACTGCATGAAGGTTTTATTTTAGTTTCCTTGAATTAACAGTTTACTTAACATTTTTGCTGCTTTTCAAGCTATTTAAAAAAAACGAACAAAAAACCACCTCATACAAACTTTCACCAGTGACTTAATAAAGATCCAGTCTCAGAACCATTGAGATGGTCTGCCAGATGCTGGTAAATTGAAAAATTAATTCAACAATTTTAAAGTCACTTACAAGACTTGCTTACAATGGAATCTTGGAACACAACCACTGAATAGCAATAATTACAGCTCTTATAAAGACAGTATGTTACTAAATATGTATTATCAGTTTAATTTGTAATAAGAATTCTTTATTTGTTAATTATTTAGCAGCCATGACCTCAAAAAATTTAGGTTCTTTATAGCTCACCTAAATGAGAAGTTTTGTCTCTTGGCAACAAACCCAGCCGTCTTCAAGAAATCAGTATGCCCAACTGCATTGCTACCAGTCTTACAGTCTACCTTTGAACTCATCAGTGCCTGCATCATATCTGTGGCCTGTCCTGAAGGTGTACACAAAACAGTCTTCTTTTGAGCACATTACTGCCAACTCGAGGCAGCTAAATAGGCATATGCCAACCTAATTCTCAATTCATATCTCCCAAATCCCCGATTCTAAGAAAGACAAGTTACTGTGATTGAACAAAAACATTTAAATATAAACTTGCCATTTTACCTGGATTTCAGTGCATTATATAGCCGAATGCCATCAGCTGGACCACAGATTTGTACCAAGTCCTCTCTTGTCAGCTTTAATAAATCAGCACCTGAAGAAATTCAGAAGAGCAGGATTTAGCTAGTTTCTTTGAGGACAAGGAAGCTCAAAAGAATTCAATATTAATTACAAACAAGTTACAAAACTGGTTCTTAAAAAACAATGCAACTCCCCAAGATAAACACAAAAGCAAGCGAAGGCTAAGAGTTGCTTTTGAGAACACATAAAATACACAAGGAAGTACTGGTTAATAAGAAATAATTACGTGATTTTTCAGAGGCAGTTACACACCTAGCTCAATTCAATACTTCTAAAAATTAGATAATTACTGCAAAATGTCACCTACTTTTATTAAAAATGGCTTTAAAATAGTAAGACTGCTATATAGCTAATTCATGGTTTAGATTTTCACCTGGGCTAGTGTGTTTCAGTGAGATGCAAAATGAAGGAAAAAATACACCCACAAAAATGCTGATTACAGGCTGCTGATCATTAAATATAGTTTGTGAAACTATTTATCCTAGACTGTGTGCACTGAAATCACTATGATTTACACTGCTGGTCCCTAGAAAGATTGTGTAGATCAGAAAATATGAAGGAAAAAAGTTCCTCTGACACCCATCACAGTTGTCAGCTGTCTGTATGTTCGCTGTATCAAGAACCTCAGGGAGCATGGCTTTATCATATATTTACCAAATTATGGCTTGCCTCTGTAAGATGTCTCCCAGGTTGATGGACAACCTCTGGAAGTGTACAGACAATCCTGTAGTAATGGCATTACTTCTAGAGCATGATGACTCTCCGTGAGCACTGGCTCCCTCTCTCCCCGCTGCTGCCTCTGATACAAAAACAGCAGTGCGGGGAGGGAAGTGGCTCTGTGGGAATCATTACACACAGGGAGCAGGCTTGAAAGCAGGCTCCCCATGTGCAGCAGTCCTGTGCTGCTGCCTAGGAGCGGATATGGGGGTGTGCATGCACCTATGCACATTAACCAATGAGCCTAGGCTGTGTACACATTCATAGCCCTAGTCCAGACAGGATATATATACACAGACACACACACCAACATGTGGCCTAAGAGCACTAGACATATGCACACACTATTATAGTTGTGTTTGACTTCAGGTAATCTACCATCAACTGTAGACACTGGACTCTGGTCTATGGCAGGTAAACTGGCTGATAGGTTGTTCACCACATGATTCCTATAAACTCTCTCGTCTGAGGCACTGTTAGGGATTATTGCTCATATGAAGTTCTAGTTCAGGGAACAGAGAGAAAATGTAATCTAAGGTTATTGAAGTCTCCTGCTGGGACCTGCATCTGATCAGCCTGCCATCCAAGTAGGGGCAGACATGGATTGCCTCTCTCCTCAGATGTGCTCCTACTACTGTCTGGCACTTAATGAATGCTCTAGGTACTATGGAGAATTTGAAGGTCCATGGTGTCTGTATTTGTTGAGTCTCCTCAGGTCTAAGACAGCATGACATAATTCCATTCTTTGGAATTAGGATATATGGAGAGTAGAAGCCTCTTCCTTTGCACTCCTTTGAAACTTCCTCTGGTTCCTAAATGAAATAATGAGGCCACTTCTGAGTGCATGAGAGGGATAAGGGAAGTGATGGGATGGGGTCAAGAGTGGAATTAGATGGGGTAAGTTAGAGCACCTTTCCATGGCTATTTGTCTGATATAATGTCAGGTAAGGTGGCTTTGAAAAATAAGGGTCATTATACGAGATCTTATGTGGTTCCCAACTGTGGAATCAAATGTGCTAGCATATCATAGGAATGGGCTTCACTGCCAAGGAGGAGGACTGTTAGTGTCCTCTGTCACACCATGGCACTTTGTGCCAGGCATTCAGGATGCCTGTGTTGGTACCCTGTGTGGTTGAGGACAGTATGGCTTGTGATACGGGACTGGGATGTAGTTTCCCAGGGAAACCAAGGTGACTTTTGAGTCTTGATCAGTACAGAGCACTCCGCTTGCTAAGGGGCTCGGTGCTCACAAAGCTCAAGTCTTCACTTGTGATTTTTGCCTCTCTTGGGATACTCAATACTTGGACCCACAAAGTTCTGCACATCATTGTCACTACGGTGACCACAGCTCAACAGGGCTGGAGATGTCCACTGCAACGTGGCATGTGATCCAGGCCACAGGCTGACATAGCCCCAATTTCTTTTACTGCCTCTGGCATCTGCAAAAAAGGGGATCACTTTCCCCTAGGATAATCAGGCCATTGAGGCTTGGCAGTTGGCAACATGCAAGTGAATAGTGGTAGAAAAGTGTGACTTTCTTCCAAAGAAGTGTACATCCTTTTCAAGTCCACATCTTTGATGGCACTCTTGCTCAATTTAGATTTCCCCTGTGCTACAGATACAACTAAGGAGCTTGGGTTCAGGTGAGTATAGAAACACTCAACCTTGTTAAAGGCACTTTAGAACCAGAATAACCTGTTTCATAGTGAGTATTATTGTAGTTGACATCTGCCACAGGGACTGGCTTTGTCAAACAGCCCCTTCTTTCTCAGGCTGGCAATCTTATCCAGGCTAAGTGCTGATGGATGTCTCAACTTGGGATTTCTCTTCCAGCACTGCTGCCATAGTTTCAATAACCCACAGAGGGACTTTCTGGAATGGTTTAGAGTCATCAAGCATTGGTACCAATGCCAAGGATACTGCCTTTTCAGGAAATGAAGCTACAAGATCTTTAGCAGGGATGTAAAAATACAATTAAAAACATAAGTCATGTAACAGCTAAAAATCATATTAGTTACATGTGCTGCAGGCTCCCCAGGAGCAGGCCTGGCAAGGGCCCCTGCTGCTGAGGAAGAGGCTTCGCTATGGGCTCTGCAGTTGGCTCCCTGGGAAGCCAGTGTGTAACCTGCAGTGGGGAGGAACAGCTGGGCCTGACACAGATGGACAGGGAGCTGCTCCAGCCCCTACCAGGTAACCAGAATTGGCAAGCCTCACCCAGTTAACATTTTACATCCTTAGTCCTCAGGTGGCAATATGGGTGCTGGTGTTGCTCTATCCTAAGATCTGGTTCCTCCCAATATTCCAACATGTACATCTGGCTAGAGATGCTGAACAGGAACAGGACCTCCTCCTCTACTGCAGTGAAGACTAGTTCCCTGATGCCAGAGATGGAGGCATTACTATTGGTTCTTGGGCACTGACCAGTCCACTGCCACTCCTGCAGTGGCAACTGAGCCCTAGATGGGATTTTGGCAAGTCACTCCATGGTACCGACCGCCATTCTGAGTAGAGGAGGCTCTCAGCTGGAGGACAGGGAGAACATGTAGCCAGGCCATGGTTAGGAGAAGACTTCCTCTAGGAGCAATACCAACTTATGTGGTGCTCTCAGTAACATGGTCCGTACAGAATCAGTAGGTGCATTGGCACTAGTGGTTGTTCCAAGCCTACTTTTGGCTAATTCAATACGGGTGGTGTCAGTGCTGATGCTCAGGGGAAGGTCCTGGAGCCAGGGTCAGTGATCGTGTGTCTTGGGTACCACAGACTGCTCCATTTCCCTGCCCCTCAATTCTATGCAAGCCCTGGTGGATTTCTCTGCCCAGACTTTGCATTACTAGCTTTATTGGAGGATACCCAAAGTTTTGTCTGGAGTCTTAATGTTTTAAGCAACCTGTTGGTGTGGGACTTTGATGCTATAGTTGTCAGTCCCTGTTTTATATGCTTTGATTTCAGGGGAGCTGTGCCAGACCCTGCTCACTCCCTGGTGCTATTTTATCCATACTGGT